CCTTTTCGTGTATATACCTCCAAAAAATTGTGGAGCCAGAGTCGTCTTTTTACATAAAAGTGAAATTGTGAACAATACTGACATGATTCAACGAGTTTCAACGTGTTTAACACTCTTACATCCTTGAGCAGTCATTTGAATTTGATTTCGCGCTTTAATTGCATACAGTTTTCTCTTTGCGACCAACACAAAGAGATTTATGGGATTACGAGAGTGGTTACGTGAGATGCGTGGGAGTGTCCTTAAACTATAAAGTTAAGCGCTGAGAATGAGCCGGAAAATAGAATTATTCTTCTTAAGTTCAAATAAAAAACGGTTTTTAAAAAAAGTCATTTTCGCATGTTTCTTTTGAATTTTTTCCTTAAATTCATGATTTCTGAAAGTTGCGCAGTTGTCTATCTACAGCGCAATATTGCGAACGAAATGATTTTAAGGTTGAGATAGTCTAGCAATCTTCAGAAAGTCGTAAAAAGAAACACGGGTTTTTTGGTGCGTACTTTAAAAAAATTCTGAATATTTAAAACTGAAAATTGCTCAGTTGTCAGCTGTATTGTTAATAAGATTTCCTAGCGAATGAGTGAAAAAACGGATTCAAAAACTTCAATTTAACTTAGAAATCGAGGAAAACAAAAAACACGGTTTTTCTTATTTCATTCACACAGAGCAAAAAATTGAATGTTGCGCAGTTGTCTGTTCAAGTGTACGTTTCAAGGTCTTCATAATGACGAACGATTTGCTTACATTAATTTGCAAATAACGGAGAAAAGGGCACCAGAGCCAAATGCCTCGTAGAAGACGCTTGGCTGCGTAGAGAGTGTGCAATTTTGGCAGAGAACGACCAGAGCCGGCGGGGCATTTGGCTCTGGTGCCTATCTCGGCTCCTACTCAACGAAACCTCCAAGTTCCATATATCATTCCGCTCGGAATCATATGGAGAATTTAGCTGACAACTGCGCAAATTCAAAAGTTCCACCATAACGAGTTATTCTTTGTATTCTCTTGACTTTCACTACTCAAGGCTATCTGCATAATACTAGAGTTCAACTCCCAATCATAATAACTATTACTTCCAACGATGCATGATTTTCGAAGTTCTTAGACACATCAACCGTTTTGAAAGAAATAGTTATAGGGCGAATTCAGCACTCACCCACACTTTGTGGATTTTTCAACTTCAACTTCTAATTTCAAAACTACACTGTTTCATTTTTCATGGAACTTCTCATCATTGTTCCCCCTGTTTTATGTACTACGACATCTTAATCTTATCTTGTCAACAGTAAAGAGGAAATTTCCTCCCTCTATTGGTCATATAGTTTTCG